TTTAAATATATGTGTGCATGTGTGTGTATCTATCTATCTATACATCTATACACGTATGGTTGAATTTACTTCCTCCAAAAGCCAAAAACAAAACAAAACAAGACATATTAAAGAAAGACACATGCCTGCTTGATTAAAAAGCAATTTCCAAAATTCCTTAATTTAAGAACCAAACTGGGCCCAGCACGGTGGCCTAGCGGCTACTGTCCTCACCTTGCATGCACCAGGATCCCCTATGGTCACTGGTTCTAATCCTGGCGGCCCTGCTTCCCAATTAGCTCCCTGCTTGTGGCCTGGGAAAGTAGTCAAGGATGGCCCAAAGCCTTGGGATCCTGAACCTGCATGGGAGACCCGGAGGAGCTCCTAGCTCCTGGCTTCGGATTGGTACAGCTCTAGCTATTACAGCCACTTAGGGAGTAAATCAGTGGACTTTGTCTTTCATTTCTCTGTCTCTCCTCCTGTCTCTCTCAAGGATATATAATATATTTATTTGACTTTGCAATAAAATAAATGTTTTTTTTAAAAAAAAAAAAAAAGAATCAAACTGGGCTGACACTCAGGTTAGTGCTGTGACAAGGTGGGCTAAGCCGCCACTTCCTGACACCCATGTGCCCTATCAAAGTGCTGACTTGAATCCCAGCTCCTGTGCCTACTGTGCCAGCACAATCCAGCTGCCTACTGACGGGTACAGGGCTTCAGGGGAGCATTTGGGCCCCTACTGCCCTGACGGAGTTTAGGCTCCCAGCTTCAGTGTGGCCCTGAGCCGGCTACTGCAGCCATCTGGAGAGTGAACCAACAGATGTAAAACTTTCACTGTGTTGTTCTGTCTTTCAAAAACATAAAACAGGGGGGGAAAAAAAAGAGTGCCATTTTTAACCCAACAGCCCTGCATGCATTCCAAGGGCTGGCAAGTGTAATCCTGAGTGATACCTTGGTCGTTCTGCACCAGAATGTAAACGTAGCTGTGTTTTAGTCCACAAGTGCTTTTAGAACCTACAAAGGATGAGAGGGCTTCATGAAAAGAGGTCTTCATGAGTTCATAAAGATTTCAAAATTTTACACCAAGACAAACCTCAATGAAATACCACACAGGTGTTGGAAAAAACCTGTCATCTGCCTGCCTGGCTCGGGCAGGAGCTGCGTGCGAGCCCCTGCACACACACCTGTTGGAGGAACCATGCAGGGCTGTTGCTGCCGTAGGTGGGCCGACACTGCCCCAGAGGTCACCTCAGTGAAGAGGGACAAAGATCTGGCAGAAAGACAAACAGACTTGAACTGATACCTTCTGAATGTGAAAGCACAAAACTGCAGTATCCCCAAACTCTTTTTAAGATATGTAGGTTTTTAATCTAAAAATATAATTTTTTAAAAACCAAAGCAGCAGGGAGGAAGGATGAGCTATGCGTGGATAATTATGATATCGAACAAAGAGACAGAAAAAAGAATTACAAGGATTAACCTCAGGTCTGGGAACTAACGCATTAACAGCCATGAGGCTGACTGCCTTAGACCAAAAAGGTTCTTCAGAAAGAAAAACGCCCTGGTGGGACGTGGTTTTGAGCAGGGCCGCCCATTTCAAGGAGGCAGAGACAGAGCACGGAGACAGCACAGCACAGCCACAGGGAGCACAGGGTAGAACCGGGAGGCGTGGCCACCACCAAGAGGCTGGGGCCTCGGGACAGGGAAGGCAAGGGTCGGCCACAGCTGGACTTGACACCCAAGGTCAGAGAAAGCGAACTCAGAGCAAGAGTCCAAAGAAGGCCTCCAGGGGAAGCGCGGCCTGAGGGCTGACTGCTCAGCTAAGCCAGGACAAGTGAACTGCCCACTAGGCAGCGGGAAACACAGGGTGGGAGTTCCAAAAGCTACTGGGACGTTCCAGAGCTACTGGGAGTGTTCAGAGAGGATCATTACGGAAAGATGAAGTTACTCATGGGGAGAAAACAGAGAGGGCGGAGCACAGAAAAGACCCTGCTAGTTTGAAAAAAAGAAAAAGCTTGCCATGACACTTAATCCTCTCCTAAGTCATTGCTCCCAGCTCCCACCAGCACACAGCACACGTCTTCAAGCAAGACGTTGCTTTGTGCATGCAATGAGGGGCGGTGCTGTAATGTATCAAACCTAGCCTCTGCCTGCAATGACAGTACAAGTGCTGGTTCAAGCCCCAGCTGTTCCCCTTTCAACTCAGATCCCTGCTACAGCCCCCACCCAGGAAAGCAACGGAGGAGGATCCAACTATTTGGGCCCCTGCACCCTTGAGGAAGATCCAAAAGTGAACCAGTAGACAAAAGCTCCTCTCTCCTCCTCATTCAGTAACTCTGCCTTTCAAATAAAATCTTTTTTTAAAAAAGATTTATTTATTTATTGGAAAGTCAGATATACAGAGGAGGAGGAGAGACAGAGAGGAAGATCTTCCATCCGATGATTCACTCCCCAAGTGAGCGCAATGGCCGATGCCATGCTGATCCGAAGCCAGGATCCAGGAACCTCCTCCAGGTATCCCAGGCAGGTGCAGGGTCCCAAAGCTTTGGGCCATCCTCGAACACTCTCCCAGGCCACAAGCAGGGAGCTGGATGGGAAGTGGAGCTGCCGGGATCAGAACCGGTGCCCACATAGGATCCTGGCGCGTTCAAGGTGAGGACTTCAGCCGCTAGGCCATGCCGCCGGGTCCCTAAATAAAATCTTTAAAAAAAAAACAAAAAACCAAACAAAATCCACAAGCTCTCACACACGATGAAGAGAATCCCAACATGAAGGGGTCTCAAACACATGCTGGGCTGAGAACCCGCTCTGTGGCTCTAACCAAACACCCGAGCCTGGGTCCTTTCTGGAGGCCTCCTTGACGGCGTCACCATAGACTGCTGGGCACGGCAAGAATGCCAAGAGGCACGTATGGCAGAACCCAAACAGGGTGATGGCCTCCCTCTGGAACAACTGGGTCTTGCAATAACCAATCTGGTCCCACAAGACTGAGTCGGAGCCCACACCCAAGAGATGGGCATCAAACTATGCTGAAGGTGGTAGTCACATGTGGGACCGAGCGTCCCTGGGAGTTCTGGTGGGAAAACACCACCATGGGCCTAGAAAGCCCCTCTGCAGCACCCTGCAGGAAAGGCTGGGAAGTGGTTCCCCGTAATGCCAGCCACAACAGAAGCAAAGGCTCACACTCTGAGCTGCAGGTGCTGACAGCGCACAGGCCAACGAGGGCTCACTCTCACAGCAGGGAGCCCCAGATGATGTGGGGGAGCGGGGCACAGAGTTCCCAGGAACCAAACTAAACCAAGCTGCCGACTCAAACCAACAGGCTGCCATCGTAGCCACACCTGAGGCCTCCGCTTCTCCAGCCGAAGATCCCAGCCACACAGAAGTCTCTGCAGGGAGGCAGGCAAAACCCCAGCAAGGTGGCTGATTCCTGCCTAACCCAGAAACACTCAAATCTGCTCCGCAAGATGCCACACACTTTAAAAATACCCAGTTACACTTCCAGGAAAGGAAAGTGGGGTTACGGATTTGGAAGTTGTATCAGGCGCCAGGAGGTACCCATTATTCTTTGTCAAGATGGTCTCGATTCCAAACGCAGATGTGCACCTGTCTGCTGGCTTCAGTCACTTGCTGAGACCCAGCTCAAACCAGGCTTTCCAGATTCTAAGCACCTGAGGACCCCAATTCCTGGACTCAGAGAAAGTCATTCGAAGGACCCCAAACTGAAGCCCTGGAGATGAAGGCATGGCAACAGCAGGAACAACTACATCAAAATAACTTTGCTACATATTTCTGCCCGGGGTCTAGGTCAGAATGAAAACTGAGCTGTCAGGAGCTCCATGCTAATCCTGTGGCAAGCAGCAGCCGCAAGGCACCAGGGCTGTGCACGGCGTGCGTTCGGGTGCTACTGAAACCCAGAGCAAGGGAGAAAATAAATAAAACAGCATTCTGTGATGGATATTCATGAAGCACTCAGCCTAATTTAAAAGAAAGCAAGTTTAGAGTTCTTACTGCATTAATGCATGGGAGCCTGAGAGAACATTTTTATCCAAACTGTTACATTTCCTACCAAGGCGCTAACGTCCTCCAGGTCTGCTCCCGATTTTGTCTTTTCTTCAACGCAAGAGCTTTCCAAGCAGGAGCCCAACGGTCTCTTTATCTTTGCTAGCAAGGGTAGGAGATGACAGCCATTGAACTCTCACTGTACACAGCTGAGCGACCTCTTTCCTGCTCACCAATCCACCAGGACAAGGTGGGGAGAGAGGCAGCAGAGCGCACACAGCTAAGGTTCCTCAGCTAAGGACTGGAACCTCAGACTCCAGAGCCAGGACTCTACTTCTTGATACAGCCAGGCAGGTGGGCTGCAGGGATCTTCCTGGCGCTGGGTTTTTCCAATCAACCTTGAGGGGAAACAGAAATCTCACTTCAGGGTGTGTTGCTACAGGGCAAGGCCAGGCTGAGTCAGACCTGCCGGTAACTAAGGAGGTCACTGCCTGCTGTACTTGGAAGCGTCTGCAGTCATTTCCCCGTCTTCTTTTTATTTCTGTCAGTGAAGTGGGCAGAAGGATGCTTCAAATCCGAATCACACACTGGAGAGATTGGTCTAGGGTCAAAGGACAGCATTTCCTGGAGCAAGGAATCCAACATGAAAATACTAAGGAGTAGCAAGGTATCTGCTGATATGCTGCGTTCTGCTTCTTGGGACGGAAGGATTAGACATGCTCACCTTGAACCCCACTCCTCCAGGAGGATTTGTCACTAGAACTCTAACTAGGCTACGTGGATGACCTTCTCTAAGCTAACTCCAGCAGTCTGTCAGCTACAACACATTAAATGGACACAATCAAGAAGTTTGAAATAACAACGTGCAGAATTAAACATGAAAACGGGGCGGGGGGTGTTGAGCACAAGGATAGCACTAGGGATACTTGTGCAAGTGCCTGACTGAAAGGTGCCCCCGCCCCCGCCCCCACCCAGGGGCCTGTCATTTCCCCACAAATAACAACAATAATAAAACATACCAAGCAGGTGCTAGATGTTGCAAATGGCGCTACCTCCTTCACAAACTGTGAAATGGATCTTATCATCCCCTTCGCCATGCATAAGAAAAGGGACTTTCTAGTGGCTCACTCCAAAGCCTCCAGTGGCCGAGGAATTAATGGGATGTCTTCCTCTTCCCAGGAGTAACATTTTTATTGTTTCAAAGATTTCCTTTTGTGATTTCTGCACCCTGAACATGAAAGCCAAAGGAAAAACCACCTGGAAGGGGAAGGGCAGCGGTCAGCACCAGGTAGAAAAAAATGGTAACTCAGAACAGCTTCCCCTTTAAGAACAAAAAGCTGTTTACCAACAAAAAAAATCACAAGTATTTGAGACTCCATTACAGCAGTCCAGCTCCAGTGTTAGATACTATCGGGGCTCTGAGAGAGGTCTTCAGGCACAATGCTCTCAAAAACCCTCCGAGCCAGCTGGGATAAGAACAAGTTCGATAAACCAAGAGCGGGTGAGTGCAGGCTCCAAGTGCCACAAAGGCATGGGGGCAGGGCAGACAGGGAACACCCCTGGAGGAAGTCCATCTTCAGCCGGGGGCCTGGAGGAAGTGAAAAGGAGGCCGGGGCTGCAGAAGGGGGAAGGACAGGAGGCAAGAGCAAGGCACAGAGGCGCAGGGGATGGCCTCGGAGGAGCAGCAGGCACTAAGGTTCAGGTGGAAGGGGTCGGGGTGGGGCCAAACCAAGAAGGACCTTAAAAAGAGTGAGCTAAGCCCAACACTTGGGGGAACAGCAAGAGGATCGCACTCAGGGGCTGGTGTCCTGGTGCAGTGAGTTAACCCAGCACCTGCAATGCAGGCGTCCCAGCCAACTCCATTTCCGATCTGGCCCCCCCTGCTTAACCGCCTAGGGAGACACTCTAGGAGCTCCAGGCTTCCCGCAGCTGGAATCCAATGCCTGTGGCCATTTTGGAGGCGTGAACCAGAGACAGAGGGAACTCCTTCCTTCCCCTGTCTCTAACTCTATTTTTCAAAGAAACAAAAATAAAACAGGCAGGAAGAAGACCAGGCTGGGCTCTGCACAGGGTGTCACGGCCACAGCTTCTCTCTCCCTTCTGCCACTGTCGGTCGTGTCTCCTGTCACTCACTGAGGTCTTTGGGATACTTCCAACTTGGGTCTGGCATGTGAGTGCTTTCAGGAAGTAGCCCCCAGACAGTCTCCCCTCCCACCGCTCCTCGGCCAACCCTCTCTGCCAGGGGACCTGTCCAGTCATGGGCTCCCTGGGTTCATCAGCCTGAGGTGTCTTTTCCTATAGGCCCCCTCATCCTTTAACACCCGGCTCAAATCCAGCCCTCTCACTAAGCCCTCCCTGACCACTCAGCTGGCCAACCATGACCTCCAGCTCTCCTTCTTGTTAATGCTGCGGCACACAGGGGCTCCACTCACCAAGCTGACCTTGGCACAACTGACATTTATTTCTGACCCCGGTGTTAAGAGTTGCTTGGTGAAGCCCAGGAGTGACCTTCTACCACTTTCCCCCGTCACACTGGACGGGCCTCCTGACTGTGCAAGAAAGCAGCGAGCACTATTTTTCGACTTCCTATAGAGTAAGTTTGGTGTTAGCACAAAGGAAGGATGGGGGAGGGAGGGCACCTCTGGAGTCAAAAGACCAGCTAGGCAGCTGTTGCAATGTTCCAGATGTGAAGCCAAGGGGGCCGTGGGCCGGGCAACAAGGCGGGGAAACACACACAACAACCACCACCACAAAGTCTTGCACGCAGAAACTTGGCCGAACGTGATCCACGTTGACTAGGGACAAAAGCAAGAACTGTGAGCAAGGCAACACAAGCCTGATGCCCTGTCAAAGCCTGTCTAAAAGTACGGCAAGTGACCCCAAAGTCCAGCCCCTAGACAGAGAGTCCTCAGCCAAACTGCCCTGGTGTCTTGAACCTCGGTCAGCCCTTCGGAGCTCACCCACGCACGCGCGCGCGCACATCCAAGGAGCGGTGGAGCTACCCCAAGCCGCTCCACCATCCATCCCACGGGAAAATTTGAGGTCTAGCGAGGAAGAGGTCAGCCCGAAAGCCTCAAGACAGGGACCCGCTGATGCCGCCCTGACGCGCGGCCGCTCAGCCCAAGAGGGCACTACCCTAAGCCCTCCCTCATGGCAGGACCGACCCAGCCCGAGTGACCATGGAGACGTCCAGGGAGGGCCAAGCACATCGCGCCGCCGCCTGTTTACCTGGAGAAATGCGTTGGCCTAAGGCGACGGGGGCGGGGGGGCGACCCCCGTGGAGGGGACCCCCACCTGTCCAGTCCCTCGGGTACAAAGGGGAGCGCCCCGGGAGGGTCAGGGGCCCGGAAGCTGGGCAGCCCGAGACGCCCGGGGCGGAGGCTTGGAAAAGCCAAGGCAGCTCCCCTACGCGAGCGCGAACCCTCGGCCCGGCCGGCAGTGCCAGGACTCTGGGGAGCAGAGCACCCGTGGGCCCCTCGGGGAAGACGGGGGACAGGGAGGCGCGCGCCCGGCCCGAGCAGGTGCCCGGAGCACCCCCAGAACCCCGCCCGGCTCCGGCTGGCTGCCGGCCCGCGGGGACTGACTGACCAAGGCGCTCGCCCCGCCGCGCCCAGAGGGAGTCGGACAGCGGCCCGGGGGTCTGTCCCCGGCGGCCCCAGCTCCGGCCGTGCCTCGCCCGTCGCCCACCCGGCCGGCGCGCCTCACCTGCCCAGAGCGCCGCGCTCACATCGCCCGCCCGCGGCGCCCCCTCCGCCGCCGCCGCCGGCGCCAGGCCCGTCCCCGCCGCTCCGGCAGCCGCCCCAGCCCGCGCCCCCCGCCCCCGGAAGCGCTTACCGGCCCCGCCCCCTCAGCGCCCGCGCTTCCGGGCACGAGCGGACCGGCCTGGCGGTGTTGGGGGGCCGGGCCTGTTGCCGGGGCGTCGGTTCTCTCAATCCCGCGCCGTGGGGTCGGCCGAGGCCCCGGGTCTGCCCCTGAAGGGGTCCCGACTCCAGGCGTGGCGGCGGCGGCCGTGCGCCCGCGTTCTCCTCGCCGTCCCCTGCCCACCCGAGGAGGGCCTCGCAGCTCTGGGCGCACGCCCCGGGCCTCGTCAGGCGGAACCGGGGGGCCACCCCGGACCCCTGGACGTGCCGGCTCCGGGGAGCCTGTGCCCGGCCTGCCAGTTCCGAGTCCCTCCTCGCAGCCATGAAGCCGCTAGCCTCTCACCAGCTGCGCGCCTGGTGGGGCGCCATGGCTCCCACAGCAGGGACCCGGAGTATCCGATTTTGGGGGCGCAGGTTTTTCTTCCCCCCAAGGCCTGAGGTAACAAATCCCGCAGTCGTATCAACTCCTGTCTCGGAAAAAGCCTGAGAAAAATGTGTCTGACCGAGTGTGTATCTCCACAGCCTGGGGTGCCCGCAGGGGCCGCCCGCAGCATTTCCCTGATGGATTCAGGAGACTTAAAGACCGTCTTGAGGAGCTTCCTGTTGCATTTTGGTGGACTCCTCAGGGTGTAGTGGCAGGGGGCTATTTTCGTCCGCCCCCGCCCACTGGGCAATTAAAAATAAGCTAGCAAAGATACCAGCTCCTCCCTGTCCACCCTCCCTCCCCTCCCCTTGCAAGCAGGAAGTCTGCCCAGCGGTCATCTTACTTTGGCCAGGCGGCCCTTTGTCAGACGGGAGAGCCTTAATGTCAACCTCAGGGGTAATCATTTCACCCCCAAGAGGGTGAGTGACTTGGCCAGGACCGCACAGCTTGTAAATGGCAAGCTGGATTTATTGGACGCCTTGGGGTGGACATGGTGGATGAAGCCACATTCAGAATGCCAAATGCCACTCCACTTATGATCCAGCTCTTTCCTAAATGCACCTGGGAGGCAGTGAAAGACGCCCGGGTACTTGGGTCCCTGCACCTCATGAGGGAGACCTGGGTGGAACTGGCTTGGAATTGGTCTGATCAGCCCTGGCTGTTCCAGGCATATTTGTGCAGTGAACCAGCAGATCGGTTTCTCTGTTTCTTTTTCATTCTGTCTCTCTTTCAAATGAAAAAAAGAGTTGGGGTCTCCTTGGCTGTGATTGCATACTATTCCCATGTCTTTAAGAACTGTGAAGACTAGAATGTTCCAGAGGGTCTGCCAGGTGTCTTAGGGTTGCTGGCCCCTGTCCCTCAGATGTTGGGATTTACATATATTTATTCTCCTACCTGCTTTGGCGGCCACTCACCATGTACGGGTTTTCACAGCGCTCTGTGGTTTTGTGGTTCATGTGGTTGTCCCAGTCTCCGCTAATTTGGTTGGATAAGGGTCACTCCATCACAGTTGGAGGACATGTGCGTTTGTAACCTGATGATCTTGGTCATTTTCAATCTCAGTTAACATCTTAGCCCGTTTGAAGTCAACCAGAGCCTGGATGGAAGGCGGCCGGTGTGTGTTGGGGACTGAGGGGGCTCGCTTTATTCCAGTTTTCCCCGTCAATATTGATGAAGTCATCAGATTCCTGTTTCAGCAAGTTGGGATGGGGTTGTGCCCAGTCCTCCTCTCAGCCTCCCAGCCCTGGTCCTGTAAGTTGAGATAGCGTGCCAAGAACTGGGCATTCCGGAGAGGACTCCATGACCAAGGTTCTCCTTTTTCTTGTCCCTTTCCTTGCACCCAACAAGGGACTCCTAAGCTCTTGAAGAATCGAAATGGCTGGCTTCTCAGATCCCATAGGAAACCCTTTCGGCCAGAAGTCAAGCTGCTCTAACTTGGCTCCTGCCCCACCTGCAATCCTGGGTGTGGCAATACCTGTTTGTCTCTGTCGGTACCTGTCAAGAGTTCTCTACAGCACATGTCTGACTCATGAGGCTCCTGAAACGCAACATTACGTGAATTACATGGGGTTTCTTCACTGTCTCTTCTCACCAGGACCTGCTCACTACCTGAAGGGGAATGAGCAAGCTGGAGGAGCCTGTCTCTAAACACTCCCAAACTAACAACTGGCTTCTAGAACATTCCAGTCAGTCAGGGTTCCTCCCACTTGGCAACACGACTGACTCAGTGTTCCACTTGGCCAAGGAAGAGGCCTCTCCCTTGGAGACCCTGTGGGCAGGCAGACACCACCTATGTGCCAGGTAGCTGGCTCACCCCTCCCAGCTGTTCCACATCAGTTGAAAGGGTATTGGGCTGAAGGGTGCAGTTGCGGCTACTCCCTTTGCACAGCCAACACCTGCAGGAGAGAAGGCACATCCAGCTCGGAATGTCCGCTGGGTACATGATCCATCCCAGTGTAGGATAAGGGGGAGGGTTCCTACTTCAGTAAGCCAGTTACAGAACCATTTCCAGTAAGGACACAACACCCAGTAAAATACTCTTGGTTGGCAAGAGTCCCCACCGACTGTCGGGCAGCCATTTCTCACCTCCTGGAGAAACAGCGTGCCCTCGCCGCGCTTCTCTCTGCTGTCCAGCCTCCTAGGTGGATCCCCTGCCTTGCTGATTGTCACTATCCGGTCCCCAAGGGTCGCTGTCTTCCTCCTCTGCTTTCTCTGGGTCTCCTGATGCTTCCTCAGCCTGTTTTATGTGGTCATCACCATGGCAATGAAGTTGTCACCTCCTGGCCATCTCTCTTAGGATGAGAATTCGATTGCTTTCTTTCCAGCTCTTTCTGCAGTGTTTGGTGCTTGATGGATATTTATTGAATGAATAGGTAATGAGCAACTACTGTTTTGTTGATGATTTTCCCCAGCACTTCCCAGAGAACCCTGTGTGCTAAATGTGTGGCAGCAGCACTCCTTATTTGCAAAATGAAAAAAAAAAAAGTGAGTGCATATATGTGTCAATGCATGAATGGACAGATGGATCTAACATTTCGCTTGCTTTGCTTTTTTACCTGCAACACAGCTACCTGAAGACTGAGTCTCGGAGCTGTTGCTGTAGTAGAGTAGGTACAGCCACCTCCCGCGATCCTGCGATGCCAGCATCCCGTGTGGGTGCAGGTTTGTGTTGTGGCTGTTCCCCATTGATCCTGCTCCTTCATC